GGCAATGTACACCTATTCAATCGAGTTCACCAGAATTTAGCAAGGCGCATCGTATTATGCATTGCAAATAATGAAAATCATAGTGAAAATATAATTTCTTAACATTATAATTTAATGAAATTGTTTTGTTTTAAAGGTATGTATTTATCTCCTATGTACCCAGACTTCGTGGACACCCTGTATATGCCGTATAAGCTTTTTGGGGCTGCGGCCGCCAACGGTAAGGAGGACATTCTCCTACACGTCAAAAGTGTGAAATCAATGGGAGCATAATCATACGCAATCCTGTATCAGCGTTTCTCCCCGTTCGAAGCGCTTCAGGAACAAATGGAAGGCCTCGTCTGTACATGGAGGCAGACGAGACCCCGTGGCCGCCTGACCGCTAACCAATGTGCGGCGGGTGTTATCAGCAGCAGCAGTCTCAGTTTGCTCCAGTTTGTGAGTATGAGGCTGAGGTCGGCCGATTTTGTTTCTTCTCGTTTACTAAGTGTTAAAGGTAAAGAGGACCAATCTTACCGATTCCAATCCGAATTGTGTTGATAGATTTGCCTAAAGTCGCTGTTGTCCTTCCTAAGAAAAATTTAATGAGCCATAATGAGCGGTCTTACCTCATCTTCTCAACGAGTTGCCTAAGCAGTGCGAACTCTTGTCTCATAAGGGTCTCCAAAGAGTCGTGGCGAGATGATATGGTGCGGACCTCGCATTCAGGCGCATTAATGCGCGCCTCATTTGTGCGAGGCATTGCTGACGGCGCAGGCGTAGGATTGGGTGATGTGTATGTAGTGGGTACTCTTAAATAATTTTACGTAAAATAGCTTACTGACTCATTGTGGGCCAGCCCGCGAAGATTTCGTGGGCGGCGTGGGAGTCCGCGGTGGGATGTTCTCCACATCGCTGATCTCCTCGTCAGAGTCAGAGGTTAGTCGACGAGGAATCCTAGGTAACAAGCTATTGCCAATATTGCGCCCTTACTCCTGTACCCTATGCCCATATGTGTGGGCTCTGAACTGGACAGGTCGGAGGTGTCCTCGGCTAACTTCGCACGCCGACGGGCCTCTTGTAGAGTTTCATAGCGTCCCAGGACCCGTATGGGGTACAACGGCGTATCCGCCGGAGGACGCTCCTGCCGGGCTATCAACCGCTTCCTCAGTGTGTCTGACGCCGGCCACATAGTAAGATTAGGTTCCATGGGGTCGGGCCATGAGTCTGCGACTACGGCAACCGTTTTCTCGTTTCGAAATTCAACCACAAGGAACATCTTTAATAAAGGAAAACTGTGAGTACATCCTTCAGTGTAGTAAGTGCAGCATTAAAAGACAAAACACAGATTTTTTTAAAAATCTTTATTGTCCAGAAAACGTATGTAAAAGAGGTATAAGGTAAAATGTGTTGGTTATCTTAGAAGGGACATATATACAAACAATGTCAGCAAAGGTTGCAGTATTGGGGAAGTCTTCCAATCCAGGTATTGTGCTACCAACCCCTTCGTTTCCAAACCTTTCGCTACTGGTGTCTTCGCGGCTTGGAGTAAACCTGACCCTATTGACAGGTTCCTTGATGACTGTTTCGGACCTGAAGGAACTCCTCGCGCAGGACCTGTCAACTGGACTAAGTCATGGCGTTGTGAATGTCGTTTTGCGTCAGATTGTCACTTGCCAGCTCGTCCATATGTAAAACAAGTAACGGCGCACAATAGCACATTTGGTTGCGACAGGTATGTTTTAGCCTATATCTAATAGCCAACCTTACAGGTGTTGTCACCAAGGGGTAAGCTTCAACAGACGAATGATATTTCCAACTTCTAGTGGCACGTTGCGGGATAATTCATCCTTTCGAGTCCGCCGTCAGAAGTTCCATCACAAAGGGAGGTCCCCCTTTGAAGAACTACCCATTGACATGATTAGGTGTTTCCCTCTGTAGATTACATGCATATGGTATGCCTGGGTGTCATGAGAAGACTTCTGCATACCTGGAAGTGGCGAGGGCGCTTAAGTGAACTGAATGACGTCGTTTATGTTTGCAGTCGCCGTTTTCCAGTCGAGTTTGCACGTAAGTGTAGATCCCTGGAACACCTTAGTTTTTGGAGTGCCTCAGACTACCGCCAATTTTTATTGTATATAGGTTCCGTTGTCTTACCCTCTTTCCCAAGGTCTGACAAAAATACCTTTTTTGATGCTCTCTACCGCTATTTACATTTTTTGTCATCCCAAATTGTACAAATGTTATGGACAATTCGGTCGGGATTTGTTGAACCATTTTATACATGATTACCCTCTCTTGTGTGGTCGCATCCACGTTATTTAAAATGTACACTCGCTCCTTCATCTTCCGGACGACGTTAGTCCGATTAATTTCACACTTTTGACATGTGGGTTAATTTAATCCTTACGGTTGGCGGCCGCAGCCCCAAACAAATTATACGGCATCTACTGTCGCAGCTTCTAGGACCGGCACTATGCACCAATTTTACGTGGCAGGGTTCCTCACAAAATGACAAGAAGTCCTTAATAGGAAGTACTTTGTATATCATTTTTAGGGGTTGTTTGCAATCGGGGGGCGGGGGAATACGAGGGGGTAATACGGGGCCGAACCCCGCCTACAACGGGCTCAGGGCGGGGATATCAACCCGTTTCCCCCCGTCACCGAAATAAAATTTGGTAGCACGACGCCCTAGTTTGCTCATTTTAACCACTCCCCAATGCCCTCCCTCCGTTGCCGTAAATGTCCCCGCCCCCCGACCAACTCTGCCCATTGACTTTTTTGGGTAAAGGACAAGTCCCAAGGAAATAGAAGTTGTTTTCTATTATTTAAAAAAGAAATATTAGAAAATTTATACAAATATTGATGTTTATCAATGTCTATTAGTTAGATTTTAGGTGAAGGCGTCACTTGTCGACTGCAGGAAAGCTGTCTCCTACAATAGAAGAAATGAGGATTGTAAGTTTGTCTATATGTTAACCTTAGAAAATTGCAAAATTGTGACTAAAGTTACATTGGCGGCAATAGTTAAGCAATGAACTATCCAGGCATCCTGCGAGAGTCGACTTTCTGATTGGACGACCCTGCTGATCGCTGATTGGCTACATTTTCTGCGAGTTTGACCTTCAGAATTCAGCGTTTGTTTAAATGCATCCTTGGCGGGTAAGTAACTTCTTCCGGTATCGACAAGTTGCACGTGTCTGCTCGTTCATTGTTGCGCTAACGATGGCAGCTGATGGTTATGTGTCAGAGGCTTTTCGCACAATTTTACGAGGCCAAGATTTTGCATCCTACGATGCATTGGAAGAGGCAGTTGGGCGCTTTAGTGAGGTAAGTATTGTATTTGTTGTATTAAGTTGTATTTAGGAAACCGTTTACCGCTTTAAGGCGGTTAGTACTCGTAAATTTGTAGCTGGCAGCCCTAATGCGGACAGGTTA